TTTCTTTCTTTCTTTCTTTCTTTCTTTCTTTCTTTCTTTCTTTCTTTTTTGTTGTTTGTTCTTCCTCTTCTTCCCGCCCCTGATAGATTTATGCCCAGAGTGGAGATAGTTCAGAAACACAACACCGCAGCTCGAAGACTGTATATCCGAGGCCATAATGGGAAGATTTATCCCTACCTTGTCATGAACGATGCGTGTTTGACCGAGTCCCGTAGAGAGGAACGAGTCCTGCAACTCCTTCGCCTCCTGAACCCTTGTTTGGAAAAGAGGAAAGAAACCACGAAGAGACACCTGTTCTTCACCGGTGAGTTTGAGAAGATGGAGAGGCGCCCTCCCCCCCCCAAAAAAAGCTTCAATGTTGGGGGCGGGGGAGAGATTGCAGTGGTGGCTGAACAGCGAGAAGAACGGGCCAAAAATTAGAACATAGAAAATAGAATCATAGGGCTGGAAAGGGAGCAGAGCCGAACCTTCCTTAGGACTGAAGCCGTACAGACTCAGCTAGCCAATGGCAGAAACACAGATTTCTAAGCAACTCAACCTGCCTGCCTGCTTTGCCTGATTGTGGGTAAAAGTTGCTCTTTTTTTAAAAAATAAAAAGTTCAATATTTACATACATGGTATGTTGTGAGTTAATTTTGTGAGTTTTCTCGTTAGCAAGTTTTATGGGTTTGCTTGCAAGCAAATTTTAAGTGACAGGCTCAGGTAGCCGATCTCACAGATCTATGAATGAATCTGTGATTCTGCGAGCAATTCAATCTGCCTGCCTGCTTTGTCTGATTTTGGGGTAAAAGTTGTTCTTTTCTTAATTTAAAAAAAAATAAATCAATATTTATTCAGTATTTTGGGGAGTTGAAGTCCATAGCTGGCTGGGAGAATTCTAGGAGTTGAAGTCCACAAGTCTTAAAGTTGCCAAGTTTAGAGACCTTTGCAGTAGAACATCGGAAAAGCTTTAAAAAATGTGCTGACTCAATTCCCCTCCCCCCCCCCCAGCCTCTGCAGTAGATCAATAAACTCGATATTGTAGCTGTGATATGGGTGTGTGTGTGTGTGGACAAACCTTGTGGGATTTTGAGTGAAAAAACGAGAGGCTAGGACAGGGCTGACCAACTTTGGCCACTTTAAAGACCTGTGGACTTCCAGCTGCCAGAATTCCCCAGCCAGCTGTGGACTTCTGCTCCCAAAATCCCACTCCCACAGGTCTTCAAGTTGTCAAGGTTGGGCAGTCCTGGGCTGTGTTGGCTGTGTGTCCAAATCTTACACTATTGAAAAGAAATCACAAATATTAGACACGAAGGCGCGCACAGAATTTTTCAGGCACAAAATAGCCACGTCGAGTGCTTCAGCTTAAAGCAATGACCATAAATTACCAGCAAGAGCATATTGAGGTTAGTAGAAAGATTATTGGAGGCTTCTGAGCAAGATTTGAAGGGGTCGAAGGACATGTGCTAGGATATCCTGGACTTTTTAAATGCTTCTTTCTGCTGTTTTCCGCAAAAGGAATGGCTCCTATTGTTTTCTCCTCTTGTCTTCTTTTCCCAGTTCCCCGCGTCGTGGCTGTCTCCCCCCAGATGCGCCTTGTGGAGGACAACCCTTCTTCTCTCTCCCTGGTGGAGATCTACAAGCAACGCTGTGCCAAGAAAGGGATTGAGCACGACAGCCCCATTTCTCGCTACTACGACCGGCTGGCCACCGTCCAGGCACGAGGGACCCAAGCCAGTCATCAGGTATTGCATTCCAGAAAGGATTGACCACTTAGCGTCCAGTTCTGGTTGCTGCCATTCAGAAAAAAATAAAAAAAAGATTATGATTCTAGAAAGTGTGCAGAGAAGAGCAACAAAGAGGATTAGGGGACTGGAGGCTTGAAACGTATGAAGAACGGTTGCAGGAACTGAGTATGTCTAGTTTAATGACAAGAAAGGACTCGGGGTGACATGATAGCAGGGTTCCAATATTTGAGGGGCTGCCCCAAAGAAGAGGGAGTCAAGCTATTCTCCAAAGCACCTGGAAAGCAGGACAAGAAGCAACGGATGGAAACTTGTTATGTCTCACCTTTCTTTTTTCCAAGAAAGATGAAAGAGTCCAAACTCACACAAACACAGGCAGGCAAGATGACCCGGTCTTTACAGAGTTAATCTTTTATACTGATAATGTCCTTGGCATTCTAACACACTCTGCCTGCCAAGTCCGAAATGATAACAAGAAAAACTACTCACTAAAGATTCCAAAGCAGACCACAAAAAACAGTCACAACGAAACCCGGAAGAGAAGTAAAACTTGGTCCCGTACAAAGTTTCCGGAGAAAACACACCCCACTTTTATCCCCTGTGGGGTGTGTCTCGATGACTCAGCTCACACTCTGACCCTCCCACGCCTCCTACGTTGCAGCTCACGTTTCTCCCTACAACGCTGCCTAGGATCAAGCCAACATTCTTCCTCTTGACTCCCTGTCAGGGGCTGCTCCGATATGCCCTCCTCCTCCTGATTAATCTCAGGCTGTTCCTCTCGGTTGTCTGATGAAACCTGAGGTATTATCAGGGAGGGAGGCATTGCCAGAGAGGAAGGTCCTGGGGAGGAAGGCATTCCCTGTTCCTCCTCCTCATCTTCCTCCTCATCTTCCTCCTCCTCTTCCTCTAACAGCACAGGCTCAGGAATCGGAGCCACAACACTAATCAAGGAGAGAAGCAACCTAGAACTAAGGAAAAATTTCCTAACCATGAGGACAATTAACCAGTGGAATGAGTTTCCTCCAGAAATTGTGGTTGCTCCATCACTGGAGGTTTTTAAGAAGAGATTGGTCAACCATCTTCCTGCTTGAGCAGGAGATCAGATTAGAAGATCTGCAAGACTTCAGACTAATGGTCAATATTAAATTGGCACCAGATGAGAAGTTATGGGTGCTCCATCACTGGAGTTTTCAAGAAGAGACTGGACAACCATTTGCCTGGAATTAAATATCCCTTCCAGCCCTATTATTCGATGTTCTAGTGTTGTTTACTCAAGAGATGAGTCTTTTACAGTTTGGCATTTAAGTCCTGTCTTTCCCTTAATTTCCTTGCTCTCACTAAAACAACGTTTGACTCTTCCTGAGAAGGCGTAGGTACGAATTAATCTTCCATTACCACCCTTATTCATCCATTTCTGATCAGAAATGGTTAGCTTAAAAGGTTTAAAATTGATAAGCAGGCTGGAGGTCGTCCTTGACCTGTTTTTAATTCCAGCTGTACCACATCTCGAAGGTTCACCTGCTAATAAGCAACCTTTCATTCTTTGCCCAGCCTAAAAATCAAGTGACTTGGAACATCTGTCTCCTTTTCTTTTTTCCCTTGCCTTCGGCGCACAGAAATTTTGCCTCCCTAAATAATTTAATTTGAGCAAGTGCAGCGATTGTTCTTTTCCAGCAGCTCCCCTCTTTATTTCCAACTCCAATTAATTAAGCCAGTCCATGCTGTAGTAATTCATTACGGGTGACTTACAGATATTTACACGTGAAAACCAGCTTGCCTGTAGAAGGAGCAAAAAAAACCCCAACCCGTAGAGATTTGAGGCCAATCTAAGCCTTTAGAGACCAACTAAACCAGTGTTTTTTCAGCCACTTTAAGCTGGCTGGACTTCAACTCCCAGAATTCCCCAGCCAACCATAAACAATAGAGTTGGAAGGACCAGAAGAATCACCTAGTCCAGTATTTCTCATCCTTGGGAACTTGAAGACGGGTGGACTTCAACTCCCAGGATTCCCTAGCCAACCATAAATGATAGAGTTGGAAGGACCAGAAGGACCACCTAGATCAGTGTTTCTCATCCTTAGTCATTTTAAGATGCGTGGACTTCAACTTCCAGGATTCCCAAGCCAGTATGGAGAAGCCATTCCCCAGCCATAATTCCTCATCATGCTGGAAGTTGAAGTCTATCCATCTTAAAGTTTCAAAGGTTGAGAAACACCACACTGGAACAGTAAGATTTGACCACTCCAAACGTGATAGTGAAGAACTTCAGAAGGTAACATCTCAGTCTTTCTCCATTTGGTGTTCTCCAGTTGGGTTAAACTGCCAGATCCAAATTCCCAGAAAACATCAGAGAAATTGGTCCACGATTCTGCCCCACAGCATCCAAATGTCAAGAGGCCAGGAAAATCAGGCGATCCAGATAGTTCAAATGGGTATATAAGATTTATTGGAAGCTTAAGCTCTCCGCAAGAATCTGAACTACTAACAGCCAAGAGAAATTAGCAGGGGATAAGAATAGAAGGAATTCAAGGTTGGCTGGACTTAGATCTCTTGTGGACACGAAGGAACTCATGACTAATGATGTGTTTGACCCCTCCCTCAGGCTCAGCCTGGTCATCTCCTACACCAGTGGTTCTTAACCTTTTCTTCATCACGGGCCTCGTTTATATACCTTTTGTGGCCATGGATCATGGCCATGGTCCCCCCAAGACTTAACTCAAGATTTAAATCATAACATTTCTTCAAGCCTCCGCGGACTTTGTGACAAGCCCTTAGGGGGTTCTGCAGATCACAGGTTAAGACCCATCATCCTACACCAACCTGTCAGGCTCCGTTAGGGATGATAAGTTGATCTGAGCCCATCAGCTGCAGCATTGGAGAATGACGACGTGTGAAGGGATCCTCAGTCATCCCTAATGTGAAGGGAAACTCCTATCTGTGTTTGATGGACGTTTGGACGTTAATTCGATGATTCTGCCAAAAGCCGTGTGCAGCTGTTGAATCAATTGGGCAGAAGAAACGGACGATTGTGGGGAGGGGAGTTTAACTGTTTAGTTTACTCGTGATGAGATAGGAAGCATGAGCGATGGATAGGTGATAGGGAAGGAAATAGTGGACTTATAAGGTAGACCAGATGATGGGGATAAGGGGTGATTAAGGGAATAATTAGGGGCGTGGATAGGAGATAGAAGCATTTAAGTGGGTGTGTTTATACCATTAAATAACTGTAAGGCAGAAGCTTCCGGTGCTAACCTACACCGGTTGGGATACCATTCTTGTCGGATGGAGAATTTGTTGTTTGACATTAAAACCTGCTTTCTGCTCTGCATGGTGGTTTGTGTGCAAACCTGCAAGTTTTCAAAGACCGTCTTGAGACAACCAATGTAACCAACCCACCTCCTGATCAACTTCCTCTTCCCTTCTCAGGTCCTCCGGGATATTCTGAAAGAGGTTCAGGGTAACATGGTTCCACGCAGCATGCTGAAGGAGTGGGCCCTTCACACGTTCCCCAACGCCACCGACTACTGGACCTTCCGGAAGATGTTCATCATCCAGTTGGCGCTGATTGGTTTCGCGGAATTCGTCTTCCACCTCAACCGACTCAACCCTGAGATGTTGCAGATTGCTCAGGTAGGTTTCGAGGGAGGGTTGGCCCCTTAGGGACCTGGTCTGTGAGACCTACGCAGCGACCCCCCATTGTTTTGGCCTGTCGGCCGCTGGCCCCTCCAACAAGGAATCAGAGAAGGAGGCGTGGGAGTGTCAGGGTCAGCATCAAGGCAACTTGGGACCTCCGAGGGGGAAGAGGGAATGGAGCTGGCAGAGAGAGAGAGGCAGAGGCGGAGCCGTCCGTCAACCCTTAGATGGAGAGGCAACATCCCCCAGGTCTGGAGGTGGCTGATGAGGAAGAGGAGGAACAGCTGAGTCTAGTGCCTGATGCACGGATGTGCAGAAGGCAGAGGAAAGGAGAGCAGTGGAAATCTGTGGGCCGGTCCTTGGGACTGAAGAGCCACCGCTGCTAGCGAAGCCCTACCCTAGCTCGGGGGATAAAAGGCAGATGGCGGAGATGAATAGATGTGGCAGACATCCATCTCCTGGCTGGCTGGACTTGTTAGCCTGTGATGAGAGAGAGAAACTTTTGGCCAAGGCTGCCGGCACTCCTAATTAAAGGAAACTTTTGAGTTCACTTCAGAGGGTTTGTGGTGTTTGGGGAGCTGGGTCAGAACACCTATTTAGACTCTGTGGAGAAACTGCCCACACCCTTACGCACAGATACAACACGTCTATTCTTTGCCTACACACACGGAGATACAACACGTCTATTCTTTGCCTACACCCTAACATGCAGCTACAACACGTCTATTGTTTGCCTACACCCTTACATGCAGCTACAACACGTCTATTCTTTGCCTACACCCTTACACACAGATACAACACATCTATTCTTTGCCTACACCCTTACACGCAGCTACAACACGTCTATTCTTTGCCTACACCCTAACACGCAGATACAACATGTCTATTCTTTGCCTACACCCTTACACGCAGATACAACACGTCTATTCTTTGCCTACACCGTTACATGCAGCTACAACACGTCTATTGTTTGCCTACACCCTTACACGCAGCTACAACACGTCTATTCTTTGCCTACACCCTTACACACAGATACAACACATCTATTCTTTGCCTACACCCTTACACGCAGCTACAACACGTCTATTCTTTGCCTACACCCTAACACGCAGATACAACATGTCTATTCTTTGCCTACACCCTTACACGCAGATACAACATGTCTATTCTTTGCCTACACCGTTACACACAGATACAACACGTCTATTCTTTGCCTACACCCTAACACACAGATACAACACGTCTATTCTTTGCCTACACCCTTACACACAGATACAACACGTCTATTCTTTGCCTACACCCTAACACACAGATACAACACGTCTATTTTTTGCCTACACCCTAATACACAGATACAACACGTCTATTCTTTGCCTATACCCTAACACACAGATACAACACGTCTATTCTTTGTCTACACCCTTACACACAGATACAACACGTCTATTCTTTGCCTACACCCTAACACACAGATACAACACGTCTATTCTTTGTCTACACCCTTACACACAGATACAACATGTCTATTCTTTGCCTACACCCTAACACACAGATACAACACGTCTATTCTTTGCCTACACTCTTACACGCAGCTACAACACGTCTATTCTTTGTCTACACCCTTACACGCAGCTACAACACGTCTATTCTTTGTCTACACCCTTACACGCAGCTACAACATGTCTATTCTTTGCCTACACCCTAACACACAGATACAACACGTCTATTCTTTGCCTACACCCTAACACACAGATACAACACGTCTATTCTTTGCCTACACCCTTACACACAGATACAACATGTCTATTCTTTGCCTACACCCTAACACACAGATACAACACGTCTATTCTTTGCCTACACTCTTACACGCAGCTACAACACGTCTATTCTTTGTCTACACCCTTACAC